TCTTGACTTCTTAACGGCAGCTGTAAAGCATGATGATGCTGAAAACTGTCGCGAAAACTGGATCGGCCCGATAAGATTCTACCCGATTTTCAAAAAATGGCCATATCTGCCACCGATACCGATACTGAGTATCTGATCGGGACATCCCTAATGTCATTCAAAGATTACTGATGCCTTTTGTTAAACAACAAGTTTCACAATGTGAAAACAGTGAAATATACTGTTGATACAATGTAGMGGCAGCAATAAAAGGCAGTAATCTTGAGTTTCAGGTTAGGTGTGTTAAGAGAGAAAAGTGTTCTTTTTAGTTTGGAACTTCGAATAATCTAAAATAAAGAAATAATTGATGATATAAGATTATTGTTTTGGGTTTCAGATGATTCAGTTTCTCAWATTGTGTCAAAGTTAGTATTTTTTTGTTATCTATATTTTAATTCACCACCTGAAGAAACATTTGTCCACAGGCTCCCTGCTGTTTTTCCTCACTCAGTCCCACACATGGAAGCACGTGCATCAAAACATCTCACTGCATGCTTCATCGCTTCCTCAAAAGAATGAGCTTCAGCCCCACCCAGCATTCTTGATGCATTGCTCCATTGTTTGTTTAAACCCCACATAGTCACAAAAGCAGGGTGTGTGTCTTTGGGTGAGAGACGGGGAGTCAGAAGAAAGTGTGATCGGGGCGGGACGTGTTATTACAGCTTATCATCAAACAGCCTGCCCAGTAGCAAGCGAGATTATTGTTCCCAGTTTGGCTGGGATTTTGGCTAGTCTGATGTCAACAAGAGAACCATAAACTGTTCCTTAAATATAGAGCTCATGACCTGTTCTGAACCTAAAGAAGTCAAAACTTCAGCATCCAATAATACTTTTTATACTTTTTTTAATTTTGAGGTAGGTGCTCTAATAAAACACGGATGTGCAAAACAAAAAGCATTCCTGAAACAGGAAGAATAGACACGTAGCTCCTCCTTGCTGAGAATAACACGATGATGTTTCTGAAATTATCTTTTTCTTTTATCATTTCTGGCATCCCGTAAGCATGAATCTGTTTATTTACACTTTCCCATTCTCATTATTCTCATCATTTTCCCAATGTGGCCCGAGGCTTTCGGTGGGCCAGCGTAGAATCCGAGCATGGCAGCGCAGTAGCTGACTGCTCTGYTGCTGTGGACACCGTCTGTAGCTGCTCCTCAAGGCCGCCGACGTTGCAGTAACCGACACAAACACGATGTGAGATGAGAYGGCTTCCTGTCCGCCCGGCACCACATCTCCATTTCTTGCCATCCTCCCGTTGCGTTTGACAGCCCCCCACTTATCACTTCTTCTCCTGCAACTTCTAAAATTTCCCTGACGCAGCCTGACGCTCGCTACACCGTCACCACGACTCTCTCTCTCCCTCTCTCTCTCTCTCTCTCCGTCTCCTCATGCAAACTGACCTTACCTCTTCTGGCACCTGATTTTTTATTTTTTTTTACTCAAAATGGCTACCATTTTGGAATAGGATAGGGAGTGTTTGATTTAAAGGTTTTGAGTATAAACATGTATAATTACTTAAAATGTAACAGAATCTGTCCTCTCACATATATTTGGCCCACTGAAGTCACTAATTCTGCAGTGAGCTGCAGGGGTTCATATGGGGTGACTGCAACATGATCTTTTTTTGACTTTATGGCTGCCCCCCTCCCCCCTGATGCCCAAACACACACTAAAATTACACCCACCCTTTCCACCCCTCACTAGTTATCATTGTCACTCATTGGACTGCTACTATTTTTTTTCWCAACTCCTTTCTTTTTTTTTTTCTTTTTGCACACTCCCTTCGATGTGACAGCTCAGCGAGCCGCGTGTCTGGATTAATCTAAAAGTCAACTTAGTTTAAATTTACAACAAAACTGAACTGTCTGCTCTGTGTTGTAAATAAACAAGTAAAAGTAATATTAAAAACTATACTTTAGGGTCACATTTTTGACATTTATCCTGTAAAATAACATTTTTGATAATTACTAATTAGCTTTCTTATGGTAACGTGTTGCTTTATCACCACYTTTGTTATGTATGAAGATAACATTTAAATTCATTAAATATGAATTTGAAACAAATGTTAACATTTTTTAAATAAATTATCCATCTTTAACAAAAGTTGGACTGATTTTAGGAAATTATTGATAAYGTTTAACATGTTGACTCTCAGTTTTGAAATTCAGGTTCAGGTTCAGATTTATTCGGGTCCCAAAAGGGCAATTAATGTTACAGCAAGTGCATAGTACTTATACATGCATAGACATAATAAAGAAGTTCAAAAGTTTAAAAAAACATGTATACAAAAATTTTAAAAGGTTATAACAAATTAGATACAATACAGTGCGCCAAAACACAACAAATACAAATCAGTGAACAAATTGGTAGCATTGGTATCAAGGAGCATCAACATTCAGATGCAAATCCCCCTACCTTGTCTTGCATTAAAAAGAGAAATAGGACGAAGGAAAACTTGTACCTGTTACTTGCACGGAGCTCTTATTCAGTTAGTTGATTTTTTTTGTCCTAAAATCTGTCAAATTTATTTTAATTTTGCTATAATTTATTATTTTATTTTCATTTTTTCTTTTATTGTTTGCACAACCACAGATCTGCTGGTTTTATTTAAAGTGTAACTTACCCCCCCGTGAAAAGATAACTCCGCCCCAAGGCGAAATTTGAAAAATGCATCAAAGTGGGTAGGGGAGGGGGAGGAGGGTTAGAGAGCAGAGGTGTGGCCAGGACGAGAGAACGTGACAGGCAGCTAGCATTAGCATAATTG